GCAACCTCCAACTCCTGGGCTCAAGCGAGTCTCCTGCCTCTGCCTCCCAAGTAGCTGGGACCACAGGCGCCCGCCACAACGCCTGGCTGTTTTTTGGTTGCAGCCATTATTGTTGTTTTGGCGGGTCTGGGCTGGGGATTGGAACCCACCACCTTAGGTGTACATGGCTGGCGCCTTAGCCGGTTGAGCCATAGGCGCCGAGCCCCAGTACTCATACTTTAACTCCTAAAGCCATTGCTTCCCGGGAACAAAATGCTACACTAATAGAGATATAATATGCACTTAGGAAACCAGTCACTGGCAGCTGATTTTCCCAGGAATTAATGATAACCACATAGATACTTAAAAGTACGTATTCATCTTTGCTAAATGAATTATATTGGCTTTCATAGTTTTGATTTCCTCATAAGAGTAGTATTGCCCCCATACTTAGCTTCTCCAGAGCTTGATATTGTCACTTTAAATTTCTAAGTACCCTTGTGATAATTTGGTCTAAAAAGTACATTATCATGAGTGCAGAAGTATACTTCCTCTGAGCTTTCCTTAGCTTCCTCCAAAGAGGTGTGGATATTTGGGTATTCCAGGTATCTAAGTATAAGCTGTTATTCTAATCCAGTCATCATGTACTCTGATAATGAAATATCAGTCAAGAGTTTGGTGACTGAAGGAAATTGTGCCCATCATTCCAATAACTGTTGTCTGTTTTCCAGGATTTCCTTTGGTTGCTGTGGGCGTTTCACTGCTGCTGAGTTACTGTCATTCTCTCTGTCTGTCATGCTTGTCCTCATCTGGGTTCTCACTGGCCATTGGCTTCTCATGGATGGTGAGTTACTAATAACTAATAAGTGAAAGACAATTTAGTATATTCAGAGTTGTACAACCATTACTACAATCAATTTCAGAGCATTTGCATCAGCCACCCACCCCAAAAACTCATACCCATTAGTAGTCACTCCCCTTGCCACCCACCTCACCCCACCCCAACTATCCAGTGTCTGCTTTCTGAACATTTCACATAAATGGAATCATATTATGTGACCTTTTGTGTCTGGCTTCTTTGACTTAACATAATGTTATGAAGGTTTATCCAAGTTGTACCTGTATTAGGACTTCATTCTTTTTATGGCTGAATACTATTTTTATTATTTGGATATACCAATTTTATTTATCCATTCATCGGTTTCCACTTTGGGAGGTATTACAAATAACATTTTTTAAATCTTTATGTGCAAGTTTTAGACTAAATATTTTGTTATATGCATTGGATTATACTACATGGGTCATTATGAAAATTTTGAGATACATAAGAATCAAGAAGGCTCAGCGCTCGTAGCTCAGTGAGTAGGGCACCATCCACATATACCAAGACTGGTGGGTTTGAGCCCAGCCTGGGCCTGCTAAACAACAATGACAACTGCAATCAACAAATAGCCAGGCATTGTGGTGGGCACCTGTTGTCCCAGCTACTCAGGAGGCTAAGGTGAGAGAATTGCTTAAGCCCAAGAGTTTGAGGTTGCTGTGAGCTGTGATGC